TTTTCGGCTTTCAATCCACATTTCTAAATAAGCACGCTTGACATCAGACACAAAGACCTCGGAAGGAAGTTAAAATTGAACAATCCGCGTTTTACAACCAGTCAGTGGTAGATTAAAAACCTTCACTTGTCACTCGTCGCTTGGGCCGCTAGGTTGAAACAAATAAGCCTGTGATGCGTTCCCTGGAACTCAAAGAGTTAAAATGTTCTGCCTGTACCAGTTCTTACTTTCACTTGTTCTGTCTGTACCAGTTCTTACTTTCACTTGTTCTGTCTGTACCAGTTCTTACTTTCACTTGTTCTGTCTGTACCAGTTCTTACTTTCACTTGTTTTGTCTGTACCAGTTCTTACTTTCACTTGTTCTGTCTGTACCAGTTCTTACTTTCACTTGTTCTGTCTGTACCAGTTCTTAGTTTCACTTGTTTTGTCTGTACCAGTTCTTACTTTCACTTGTTCTGTCTGTACCAGTACTTAGTTTCACTTGTTTTGTCTGTACCAGTTCTTAGTTTCACTTGTTTTGTCTGTACCAGTTCTTACTTTCACTTGTTCTGTCTTTACCATTTGTTGTCTATGTATATTCTTGTCTGACTTGTTACACATTCATGTTGTCTTTATGCCGATGCTGCCATATCATCATTATAAGCAGTTAGAACTGATTATGTTTTCAGCAGCTACGGGTCAAGGCACTGCACGACTACAGCGCCAACAGGAGCGATGAGCTGTCCTTTTGCAAGGATGCCATCATCACAAATGTGACCAAACAAGATGGAGGCTGGTGAGATCTTGTATCTGTTGTTTCTAATTGTGGGGATGTTGGTGTGTTGCAAAGATGCTGATGTGAGGATGTTTGTCTTGTGAGGATGCTGGTGTTTTGTGAGGATGTTTATGTTGTTGTGAGGATGTTGTATCTTGTTGCCTGGATGTTTTGCATTCTTGCATGCCCGATTGTGAAGATAAGTTGTGATGATATGCAACCGAAGGGCATTGGATAAAGAAATATTAAAGTTTTATCTTCTTTTTCAGCATTCTGAGCCCTTGAGGTTTATTGCGCTTTTATTCATATCTCTTGTTGGCCTTCTCTTTCCAGTTGGTGACACCAAGTGTTTGCAGATATGTCTGGATAATCTCTCTTGTTGGCCTTCTCTTTCCAGTTGGTGACACCAAGTGTTTGCAGATATGTCTTTATAATCTCTCCCTGTCTTCTTTATCTGCCTTATGGTCTACAAATGTAACAACCTTGTATATAGTTTTACCATCTCTGTCGTCTGACGTTCTATTCTAGCCATTTCCGTCTGTTAGCTATCTTGATGCCTGTGATCAGTGGTGATCTGATTAGATTATGAATTTCATTGTTTCTTCTTACTCTCCATTCCTTGCTGTCTAAATCTTTGATGGGTCCAAAGATTTGTTGTAAGACTCTGTTTTCGAAAATTTAAAAAAGGCTACATCGTTTTAATGAGCTACAGCTCTGTAAAGGGTTTGTACATTCCATGTTCCAAATCTCAAAAGTTCTTTAACATTCCAGTTTTGTTGTCCATTAAAATCCATCTGAAATCGAGGCTTAGATATCTGTTTCTAGGTGTCAGCTCCACCCTTCAGTCCCCCAACCTGGAGGCTTAGGAATCTGTTTCTAGGTGTCAGCTCCACCCTTCAGCCCCCAACCTGGAGGCTTAGATATCTGTTTCTAGGTGTCAGCTCCACCCTTCAGCCCCCAACCTGGAGGCTTAGGTATCTGTTTCTAGGTGTCAGCCTCCACCCTTCAGCCCCCAACCTGGAGGCTTAGGTATCTGTTTCTAGGTGTCAGCTCCACCCTTCAGTCCCCAACCTGGAGGCTTAGATATCTGTTTCTAGGTGTCAGCTCCACCCTTCAGCCCCCAACCTGGAGGTTAGCTATCTGTTTCTAGGTGTCAGCTCCACCCTTCAGTCCCCAACCTGGAGGCTTAGATATCTGTTTCTAGGTGTCAGCTCCACCCTTCAGTCCCCAACCTGGAGGCTTAGATATCTGTTTCTAGGTGTCAGCTCCACCCTTCAGTCCCCAACCTGGAGGCTTAGGTATCTGTTTCTAGGTGTCAGCTCCACCCTTCAGCCCCCAACCTGGAGGCTTAGATATCTGTTTCTAGGTGTCAGCTCCACCCTTCAGCCCCCAACCTGGAGGCTTAGGTATCTGTTTCTAGGTGTCAGCCTCCACCCTTCAGCCCCCAACCTGGAGGCTTAGGTATCTGTTTCTAGGTGTCAGCTCCACCCTTCAGTCCCCAACCTGGAGGCTTAGATATCTGTTTCTAGGTGTCAGCCTCCACCCTTCAGCCCCCAACCTGGATGCTTAGGTATCTGTTTCTAGGTGTCAGCCTCCACCCTTCAGCCCCCAACCTGGAGGCTTAGGTATCTGTTTCTAGGTGTCAGCCTCCACCCTTCAGCCCCAACCTGGAGGCTTAGGTATCTGTTTTCTAGGTGTCAGCTCCACCCTTCAGTCCCCACCTGGAGGCTTAGATATCTGTTTCTAGGTGTCAGCCTCCACCCTTCAGCCCCCAACCTGGAGGCTTAGGTATCTGTTTCTAGGTGTCAGCTCCACCCTTCAGTCCCCAACCTGGAGGCTTAGATATCTGTTTCTAGGTGTCAGCCTCCACCCTTCAGCCCCCAACCTGGAGGCTTAGATATCTGTTTCTAGGTGTCAGCCTCCACCCTTCAGCCCCCAACCTGGAGGCTTAGGTATCTGTTTCTAGGTGTCAGCCTCCACCCTTCAGCCCCCAACCTGGAGGCTTAGATATATGTTTCTAGGTGTCAGCCTCCACCCTTCAGCCCCCAACCTGGAGGCTTAGATATCTGTTTCTAGGTGTCAGCCTCCACCCTTCAGCCCCCAACCTGGAGGCTTAGATATCTGTTTCTAGGTGTCAGCCTCCACCCTTCAGCCCCCAACCTGGAGGCTTAGGTATATGTTTCTAGGTGTCAGCCTCCACCCTTCAGCCCCCAACCTGGAGGCTTAGGTATCTGTTTCTAGGTGTCAGCTCCACCCTTCAGCCCCCAACCTGGAGGCCCATAGTGTCTCTCTTTGTCTGTTCTATGCCCTTTGACCTTTCTAGCTTATTGGCAATTACGTTACCGCTGGCATATCTGTCAGTGTCATTGAGCAACACAAGCAGCCTGCCAGGTTTTGCCTCATGTTTATGATTGTGCCCACATGCCTATTGTCTTGTGCTCCATTTGCTAGTCAGAATTTGTGTTCATTGTTTTGTGTGCATCAAGAAAGCTGCTTTCTGCCCTGTCAGGTGGCGAGGTGACTACGGGTCTAAGAAACAGCTGTGGTTCCCTTCCAACTACGTGGAAGAAATTGATACCCAGTCAGAGAACTCTGCAGAGTCCACGCCCCTGGGAGTTCTGCAGCAGGGAACTATAGACGTCAAGGGATGCTTCATTGGTAGGTACTTCTTACAGGGTGACACTCTTCTTTTGTAAATATATTTTCTTTAATAAGTTAGCTCTTTCAGTTGGAGGAGCCACCGTGGTGTAGTGGCTAGACACTCATAGTGGATTTAAAGATCAGGGGTTCAAATCCAAACGGAGCTTGATTGTTGTCCCCTTTAACTCTCAGGCTGATCCAGCCTTGAATAGGTGCCAGGTGTTGTCCTGGGAAGCAAAGGCAGCCGGCAGGATGTTGACCACATCAGCCCAGAGTGTCTATGGAAATATAAGATATAGGTCTAGCACTGTAGGCCCAATAGCCTTGAAAACTTTTAGTCAGTTGATGGTTTGTGTCAGTCAGTGCAGTGTTTCCCTGTTATACACAGTCAGTGCAGTGTTTCCCTGTTATACACAGTCAGTGCAGTGTTTTCCTGTTATACACAGTCAGTGCAGTGTTTTCCTGTTATACACAGTCAGTGCAGTGTTTTCCTGTTATACACAGTCAGTGCAGTGTTTCCCTGTTATACACAGTCAGTGCAGTGTTTCCCTGTTATACACAGTCAGTGCAGTGTTTCCCTGTTATACACAGTCAGTGCAGTGTTTTCCTGTTATACACAGTCAGTGCAGTGTTTCCCTGTTATACACAGTCAGTGCAGTGTTTCCCTGTTATACACAGTCAGTGCAGTGTTTTCCTGTTATACACAGTCAGTGCAGTGTTTTCCTGTTATACACAGTCAGTGCAGTGTTTCCCTGTTATACACAGTCAGTGCAGTGTTTCCCTGTTATACACAGTCAGTGCAGTGTTTCCCTGTTATACACAGTCAGACACACACAACAGATTGCACAATTTATTGCCTGGCATATTTCCCTGTTATACACAGTCAGGCACACACAACAGATTGCACAATTTATTGCCTGGCATATTTCCCTGTTATACACAGTCAGACACATACAACAGATTGCACAATTTATTGCCTGGCATATTTCCCTGTTATACACAGTCAGACACATACAACAGATTGCACAATTTATTGCCTGGCATATTTCCCTGTTATACACAGACACACACAACAGATTGCACAATTTATTGCCTGGCATATTTCCCTGTTATACACAGACACACACAACAGATTGCACAATTTATTGCCTGGCATATTTCCCTGTTATACACAGTCAGACATACACAACAGATTGCACAATTTATTGCCTGGCATATTTCCCTGTATCTCATCAGTTGCTCATACTGCAGTAAAAGTTGAATACAGAGAAGCAAATAAATAAAGCTCCTCTGACTGAAATACAAAAATCAGCTGCACTTATCAAAACTAACCGCCTCTTTTACCAAGGCAAACACAGGTTCACTACCATGCCTTTAAGGTCAGTATCACGCCTGCCATCTTGACACTGTAGGGCCATTTTCTCATACCTATTTTTGAGCTTGATCAGCCTGCCTGTGCTTTCTTGAAGATTCAACCCCCCGGCTGCCACATCTGTAGGCACTATCACAGAATCAGTCTGGTGAAGAAGATATTAAATAAGCATCAGTTTTAACTGTGATGCCATATTGGTATTTGTAATACCCAGTGTTGTTGCTCTGTTCGCAGATGAGTTACCACCACGGGGGAATAGGTTTCTGTTTCGCATTGCTCCACGAAACAACAGCCCTCCCATTGAGATTGCCGTCGACTCAGAGGAAGAGATGAGGGATTGGTTAGAGAAGATCTCTATATCTTCATCTACAGCAGTGATCAGGGTAACTTTCTGTTTTTTTTAATGGTTTGTTTATTCTTATAATTTTATTTGTTAACTGTAGGGCTTTCTTGTTTGAATCAAAAATATTTTGAGGGAAGAACTTTCTTCTCTTTGTCTACAAATGTAATCACAGTGATGTGTTCTTATCTTCTTTTTCTTCTCTTCCACCATTTACCTCACTGAGGTGTTGGGGGAGATGCAAGGATTGTTTGTGTGCTTTCTTTCTAATGCATTGAAAGGTGGAGACAGGTATGCTTCGTGCAGAGTGGCAGATCACTTCAGAGGTCCTGGGTAGTTAACGTCCTTTGGATATTCTCTCCAGGAAATGAGCAGGCAGATAGACTGGCCAGTTCTGCACCACTAGATAGGGAACTGATGTATGACAAGCTAGATGTTGTGAGGGCCCTCTGGAAGCAAGTGAACACTAGGAAAGCACAAATAGATCATTACTGTCTGAGGAAAATGGCGCTGTGGGGAGTTACCAGGGGATCTGGTCAACGCTATAGGGAAAGGCGAGACAGATATACAGACAGTTACTGGTGACATCCGAATTATAACTTTTTGTTTGCTGCTGAAGATGAGGACGAAGCGCTTATGGGAGTGTCCCGAGTGCTATTATGTCGATTCTCAATTCATCATTCCAATGCATTGTACAAAGATGGTGTTCATTTCTTCGTTCCATCTCTTGCATGGTCTTCCCCAATCTTTGTTCATGATATTTCTTCAGTGTGGCTCTCTGTGGAGGTTGGTACCAGGCATTCTCATCAGGTGGCCAAACCATCTCAATTCTTGTCCTTTATTGAATTGTTTGACTGGTTTCAGTCCTAGTCTTCTCAGTTCTAGTCTTCTTCTAATTTCTTCATCCTTTATTATATCTCTTCTTGTCACACCAGCCACTCTACAGAGTCTCTGTTGTTACCATCTTCCACTCATTAGCTGTAGTAAGGGTCCATGTTTGGCACTGATAGCACAGTATCGGCCAAAAAAACTGTTCTTTTGAGATTTGCTTTGGTTGACAGAGGTATCTTTCTATGGATCAGAAGCATTGTTATTGTCCTATAACCTGATTTACTTTCACACATCTTACGTTGATTTCTCTATCCATTTGTCCATTTGAGGTGAAAAGTGACCCTAGATATTTAAATTTTGTCTGTGTTATTTACTTTAATTGACATAGTTTTTTCTTGCCTACCTATTACCATTGCCTCTGTCTAATCAATGCTTATCCTCATATTATATTTCTCATACTTCTTAGTATTGACTTGGTCTACATGGTTCTGCAAACTCTCTTCTGTTTCTCCTATTAATACTTGGTCATCTGCTAATAACAATTCTGAGATTTCATCCTTTTCCTCACTCTCTGCTTCTTTGCATTTATTGTCAATGAATGTAATAAAAAGCAGGGGAGATAACACACATCTCTGTCTCACTCCTGAATGCACTTCAAAAGGTTGCGATGTACCTGCTTTTGTTTGTATGCAACTTTTACTTGATGTTTATAACCTGTTACACACTTCAGTGAGGTCTTTGCTGATTCCATATCTTCTCAAGCAATTCCACAACATATTCCAATTCACTCTGTCAAATGCTGTTTCCTGATCTCTATTGCTCGTTCTGTCATGTGTCTTAATGTCAATATTGTGTCTGTGCAGCTTCTGTGACGTCTGAAACCCATCTGACTTCTGTGACGTCTGAAACCCATCTGACTTCTGTTACGTCTGAAACCCATCTGACTTCTGTGACATCTGAAACCCATCTGACTTCTGTGACGTCTGAAACCCATCTGACTTCTGTGACGTCTGAAACCCATCTGACTTCTGTGACATCTGAAACCCATCTGACTTCTGTGACATCTGAAACCCATCTGACTTCTGTGACGTCTGAAACCCATCTGACTTCTGTGATGTCTGAAACCCATCTGACTTTTGTGAAACCCATCTGACTTCTGTGACGTCTGAAACCCATCTGACTTCTGTGACGTCTGAAACCCATCTGACTTCTGTGACGTCTGAAACCCATCTGACTTCTGTGAAACCCATCTGACTTCTGTGACGTCTGAAACCCATCTGACTTCTGTGACGTCTGAAACCCATCTGACTTCTGTGATGTCTGAAACCCATCTGACTTCTGTGACGTCTGAAACCCATCTGACTTCTGTGACATCTGAAACCCATCTGACTTCTGTGACGTCTGAAACCCATCTGACTTCTGTGACGTCTGAAACCCATCTGACTTCTGTGACATCTGAAACCCATCTGACTTCTGTGACATCTGAAACCCATCTGACTTCTGTGACGTCTGAAACCCATCTGACTTCTGTGACGTCTGAAACCCATCTGACTTCTGTGAAACCCATCTGACTTCTGTGACGTCTGAAACCCATCTGACTTCTGTGACGTCTGAAACCCATCTGACTTCTGTGACGTCTGAAACCCATCTGACTTCTGTGAAACCCATCTGACTTCTGTGACGTCTGAAACCCATCTGACTTCTATGACGTCTGAAACCCATCTGACTTCTGTGATGTCTGAAACCCATCTGACTTCTGTGACGTCTGAAACCCATCTGACTTCTGTGACGTCTGAAACCCATCTGACTTCTGTGACATCTGAAACCCATCTGACTTCTGTGACGTCTGAAACCCATCTGACTTCTGTGACGTCTGAAACCCATCTGACTTCTGTGACGTCTGAAACCCATCTGACTTCTGTGACGTCTGAAACCCATCTGACTTCTGTGACGTCTGAAACCCATCTGACTTCTGTGACGTCTGAAACCCATCTGACTTCTGTGACATCTGAAACCCATCTGACTTCTGTGACGTCTGAAACCCATCTGACTTCTGTGAAACCCATCTGACTTCTGTGACGTCTGAAACCTATCTGACTTCTGTGACATCTGAAACCCATCTGACTTCTGAAAATTGTTCTTCTACTTTTGGTCTTGATCTTCTTTCAGTTATTCTGGCATAAATTTTCCTGTGTGGCTCACTAGTGTTCCTGTGTGGCTGAATAGTGTTCCTGTGTGGCTCACTAGTGTTCCTGTGTGGCTCACTAGTGTTCCTGTGTGGCTCACTAGTGTCCCTGTGTGGCTCACTAGTGTCCCTGTGTGGCTCACTAGTGTCCTCGTGTGGCTCACTAGTGTTCCTGTGTGGCTCACTAGTGACATTCCTCTGTAATTAGTGCACTCTTTCTTACTCCCTTAATTTTTTCTTATCGGTATCATTATTGCTGTTTGCCAGTCATCAGATGTTTCTTGGTCTAGCCCTGACCCATTTTGCTCCTGTTTCTCCAATTGCTTTGATGGCTTCTGTAGGGAGTTCGTCAATACCAGTAGCTTTGTGCCTTGGTGCTGTCTTTATTGCATTTTCTACTTCTGCAAATAGAACTGCTGGCTCTAGTGTATCCACTTCTTGTGCTGTGTTTTTTATAGTATTGTTGTTTAAATTGTCATCTTTATTCTTGAAATTCAGCAGTTCTTTAAAATATTAACTCCATCTCTCTAGAATCATTCTGGGGCCTAGAAAAGGTTGTCCTCTTTCATGATTTAGTATTTCTGTTGGATGATATTCCTCATTGCTTTGTCTTATCCCTCTTACTTTCTTATATCTTCATCTACAAATGTAAGAAAAGGGCTTAACTTTTCTGTATCTACAGCAGTGATATTTGGAATACTGTCTTGTCTGCATAAACAAATAGGATGCAGAATTGTGGGTTCACAACAGAGTTCATCACAGTGGAAACCATTGTACAACACCTCTGCACTGTTAGAACATAGTCTGACTGGAACAGTTAAATAGCCAGAAAAAGACAATTACTTGACCACACAGGAACACAAAGACAAGATCATAGACCTGATCTGCGACTGAAACTCACATTGATGCTTATCGGCATGGCACATGATAATTAAACTCAGTGTTTGGCCAGATGTCTCAGAGAAACCAGGTTCCCAACATGTAGATTGACCAGATGTGCTGGAGAAACCAGGTTCCCAACATGTAGATTGGCCAGATGTCTCAGAGAAGCTAGATTCCCAACATGTAGATTGGCCAGATGTCTCAGAGAAGCCAGATTCCCAACATGTAGATTGGCCAGATGTCTCAGAGAAGCCAGGTTCCAAACATGTAGATTGGCCAGATGTCTCAGAGAAACCAGGTTCCCAACATGTAGATTGGCCAGATGTCTCAGAGAAACCAGGTTTCCAACATGTAGATTGGCCAGATGTGCTGGAGAAACCAGGTTCCCAACATGTAGATTGGCCAGATGTCTCAGAGAAACCAGGTTCCCAACATGTAGATTGACCAGATGTGCTGGAGAAACCAGGTTCCCAACATGTAGATTGGCCAGATGTCTCAGAGAAACCAGGTTCCCAACATGTAGATTGGCCAGATGTCTCAGAGAAACCAGGTTCCCAACGTGTAGATTGACCAGATGTGCTGGAGAAACCAGGTTCCCAACATGTAGATAGGCCAGATGTGCTGGAGAAACCAGGTTCCCAACATGTAGATTGGCCAGATGTGCTGGAGAAGCCAGGTTCCCAACGTGTAGATTGGCCAGATGTCTCAGAGAAGCCAGGTTCCCAACGTGTAGATTGGCCAGATGTCTCAGAGAAACCAGGTTCCCAACATGTAGATTGGCCAGATGTCTCAGAGAAACCAGGTTCCTAACATGTAGATTGACCAGATGTCTCAGAGAAACCAGGTTCCTAACATGTAGATTGACCAGATGTCTCAGAGAAACCAGGTTCCTAACATGTAGATTGGCCAGATGTCTCAGAGAAACCAGGTTCCCAACATGTAGATTGGCCAGATGTCTCAGAGAAACCAGGTTCCCAACATGTAGATTGACCAGATGTCTCAGAGAAACCAGGTTCCCAACATGTAGATTGGCCAGATGTCTCAGAGAAACCAGGTTCCCAACGTGTAGATTGACCAGATGTGCTGGAGAAACCAGGTTCCCAACATGTAGATTGGCCAGATGTGCTGGAGAAGCCAGGTTCCCAACGTGTAGATTGGCCAGATGTCTCAGAGAAGCCAGGTTCCCAACGTGTAGATTGGCCAGATGTCTCAGAGAAACCAGGTTCCCAACATGTAGATTGGCTAGATGTCTCAGAGAAGCCAGATTCCCAACATGTAGATTGGCCAGATGTCTCAGAGAAACCAGGTTCTCAACATGTAGATTGGCCAGATGTGCTGGAGAAACCAGGTTCCAAACATGTAGATAGGCCAGAAGTTAGAGAAGGATGGGCTAAGTAAGTGTCTTTGCTTTATTGTGGTGGTCACTTTTGTTTTGCCTGGAATAATTTGTTTCCTGTGTAATTTGTGGCACCTTCTCTTGCTGCTTGCCTGATTGATTGACTCCCATCTTATTTGCCACTTTCAGACCAGTGAACAGAAACACCTGGAGCGAACCATGCGAATAGCTCGAGAATTTTCTGATCTGATTATTTACTGCAGGGCTGTTCCATTTAACCCAGAGGGTCAGTCTGTTTTTGTTTGTTAAAATTTCTTAGCTTGAAAGTTTGTTGACAGTCTGTTCAAGGCTCAGTCCAAGGACTGAAAGATTTATCCGGTCTTCATTTTTGTTTTTGACGGCTTTATGTTTTGTGTGTTTTTTTTTTTTTTTTTTTTTACAGCTTTTTGTTTTGTGTTTTTGTTTTTTTACTTCTTTGTGTTTTGTGTATATTTTTATTTATTTGTTAAAGAAAGAAATGATGTCACATTGGCAAGGCATCAGCAGCTTTAAATAAGCTGAACAAAATAACAGACTCTGACAAACTGTGTGTGTAGTTCTCAAACCAAGTTACATATTTTCACTTCCAGTTTCATTTCAGTTTTAACATTTGCCAGTGAAAGTTGTGGAACCACTAAAGACATGCAGCGAAAGTTAAATGCATTCAAAACAAATGCCTGAGGAACATTCTGAACACACATCAGTCAAATGGGTTGAATTAAATGGGGTGAAGATGTGAGAGTAATGTCTGGGAAACCATTAGTGATGAGACAGAGAGGATGATGCTGGATTGGACACATCCTGAAAAGAAGCCAGCAGAGAATCAGCAAACAGGCATTACAATGGGAAATAAAGGGAGTAAGGAGGCGAGGATGCCCTAAGATGAACTCTAATGAGAAAGGCCAGAAGTACACAACGGCACAGTGAATGAATCAATGAATGTGTTATTTTTTAACATGTCTTTCATGTAGTTTACCTGTATTTTCCCAATGTCTAGTTTGTATTTATAAGCTAAATGTCTAGTTTACAAGTTGTTGTTTTTTTTGGGTGGGGGGGGGGGGGGGGGGGGCGTTATCAACTGATTTATCTGTGTTTATTTAGCATAACCTCTAGTATACATGTTCACACACAACAACAACAGGAGGCCATTTAGCCTACCTGTGTTTTTTAGTCTGATATCTAATTTATACAGTCACGCATGAATGCACGCACACACACACACATATTGCTAACATTTAGTGTCCCGGTGTCTATATGTGTTAATCAGTCTAGTCCACAGTGTCTAAATGTGTCAATCAGTCTAGTTCACAGTGTCTAAATGTGTCAATCAGTCTAGTCCACAGTGACTAAATGTGTCAGTCAGTCTAGTTCACAATGTCTAAATGTGTCAATCAGTCTAGTCCACAGTGTCTAAATGTGTCAATCAGTCTGGTCCACAGTGTCTAAATGTGTCAATCAGTCTAGTCCACAGTGTCTAAATGTGTCAATCAGTCTATTTCACTGTCTAAATGTGTCAATCAGTCTAGTCCACAGTGTCTAAATGTGTCAATCAGTCTAGTTCACAGTGTCTAAATGTGTTAATCAGTCTAGTTCACAGTGTCTAAATGTGTCAATCAGTCTAGTTCACAGTGTCTAAATGTGTCAATCAGTCTAGTTCACAGTGTCTAAATGTGTCAATCAGTCTAGTCCACAGTGTCTAAACAGTAAATGTGTCAAACCCATCAGTCTAGTTCACAGTGTCTAAATGTGTACATCTGTCCAGTCAGTCTAGTCTTCTGTACATCTTACAGTGTCATCTTACCGCAACAGCATCTCTGTACCATCTGTGTCATAAAACGTTACATCATCTCTGTACATCTGTGTCCACAACAATCATCTCTGTACATCCTGTGTCCAAACCATGTCTCTGTACATCTGTGTCCACAACCATCAACCTCTGTACATCTGTGTCTACAACCATCACCTCTGTACATCTGTCTCCAAACCATCATCTCTGGTACATCTGTGTCCACAACCATCATCTCTGTACATCTGTCGTCCACAACCATCATCTCTGTACATAATCTGTGTCCACAACCATCACCTCTGTACATCTGTGTCCACAACCATCATCTCTGTACATCTGTGTCCACAACCATCATCTCTGTACATCTGTGTCCACAACCATCATCATCTCTGTACATCTCATCTGTCCACAACCATCATCTCTGTACATCTGTGTCCACAACCATCATCTCTGTACATCTGTGTCTCCACAACCATCATCTGTGTGTAACCATCATCTCTGTACATCTGTGTCCACAACCATCATCTCTGTACTCTGTGTCCACACCATCACCTGTGTCACAACCATCATCTCTGTACATCTGTGTCCACAACCATCATCTCTGTACATCTGTGTCCACAACCATCATCTCTGTACATCTGTGTCCACAACCATCATCTCTGTACATCTGTGTCCACAACCATCATCTGTCATCTGTGTACATCATCTCTGTCTGTGTCACACCATCACCATCATCTCTGTACATCTGTGTCCACAACCATCATCTCTGTACATCTGTGTCCACAACCATCATCTCTGTACATCTGTGTCCACAACCATCATCTCTGTACAACCATCTGTGTGTCCACAACCATCATCTCTGTACATCTGTGTCCACAACCATCATCTCTGTACATCTGTGTCCACAACCATCACCTCTGTACATCTGTGTCCACAACCATCATCTCTGTACATCTGTGTCCACAACCATCACCTCTGTACATGTGTGTCTACAACCATCACCTCTGTACATCTGTGTCCACAACCATCACCTCTGTACATCTGTGTCCACAACCATCACCTCTGTACATCTGTGTCCACAACCATCATCTCTGTACATCTGTGTCCACAACCATCATCTCTGTACATCTGTGTCCACAACCATCACCTCTGTACCACAACCTGTGTCCTGTGTCTACAACCATCATCTCTGTACATCTGTGTCCACAACCATCATCTCTGTACATCTGTGTCCACAACCATCATCTCTGTACATCTGTGTCCACAACCATCATCTCTGTACATCTGTGTCCACAACCATCATCTCTGTACATCTGTGTCCACAACCATCATCTCTGTACATCTGTGTCCACAACCATCATCTCTGTACATCTGTGTCCACAACCATCATCATCTCTGTACATCTGTGTCCACAACCATCATCTCTGTACATCTGTGTCCACAACCATCACCTCTGTACATCTGTGTCCACAACCATCATCTCTGTCATCTGTACATCTGTGTCCACAACCATCACCTCTGTACATCTGTGTCCACAACCATCATCTCTGTACATCTGTGTCCACAACCATCATCTCTGTACATCATCTGTGTCCACAACCATCACCTCTGTACATCTGTGTCCACAACCATCATCTCTGTACATCTGTGTCCACAACCATCATCTCTGTACATCTGTGTCCACAACCATCATCTCTGTACATCTGTGTCCACAACCATCATCTCTGTACATCTGTGTCCACAACCATCATCTCTGTACATCTGTGTCCACAACCATCATCTCTGTACATCTGTGTCCACAACCATCATCTCTGTACATCTGTGTCCACAACCATCATCTCTGTACATCTGTGTCCACAACCATCATCTCTGTACATCTGTGTCCACAACCATCATCTCTGTACATCTGTGTCACAACCATCATCTCTGTACATCTGTGTCCACAACCATCATCTCTGTACATCTGTGTCCACAACCATCACCTCTGTACATCTGTGTCCACAACCATCATCTCTGTACATCTGTGTCACACAACATCACAACCATCTCTGTACATCTGTGTCCACACAACCATCATCTCTGTACATCTGTGTCCACAACCATCATCTCTGTACATCTGTGTCCACAACCATCACCTGTACATCTGTGTCCACAACCATCTGTCTGTACATCTGTGTCCACAACCATCATCTCTGTACATCTGTGTCCACAACCATCATCTCTGTACATCTGTGTCCACAACCATCATCTCTGTACATCTGTGTCCACAACCATCACCTCTGTACATCTGTGTCCACAACCATCATCTCTGTACATCTGTGTCCACAACCATCATCTCTGTACATCTGTGTCTACAACCATCATCTCTGTACATCTGTGTCCACAACCATCATCTCTGTACATCTGTGTCCACAACCATCATCTCTGTACATCTGTGTCCACAACCATCATCTCTGTACATCTGTGTCTACAACCATCATCTCTGTACATCTGTGTCCACAACCATCATCTCTGTACATCTGTGTCCACAACCATCATCTCTGTACATCTGTGTCCACAACCATCATCTCTGTACATCTGTGTCCAACAACCATCATCATCTCTGTACATCTGTGTCCACAACCATCATCTCTGTACATCTGTGTCCACAACCATCATCTCTGTACATCTGTGTCTACAACCATCACCTCTGTACATCTGTGTCCACAACCATCATCTCTGTACATCTGTGTCCACAACCATCACCTCTGTACATCTGTGTCCACAACCATCATCTCTGTACATCTGTGTCCACAACCATCATCTCTGTACATCTGTGTCCACAACCATCATCTCTGTACATCTGTGTCCACAACCATCATCTCTGTACATCTGTGTCCACAACCATCATCTCTGTACATCTGTGTCCACAACCATCATCTCTGTACATCTGTGTCCACAACCATCATCTCTGTACATCTGTGTCCACAACCATCATCTCTGTACATCTGTGTCCACAACCATCATCTCTGTACATCTGTGTCCACAACATCACTCTGTACATCTGTGTCTACAACCATCTCTGTGTCCACAACCATCATCTCTGTACATCTGTGTCCACAACCATCATCTCTGTACATCTGTGTCCACAACCATCACCTCTGTACATCTGTGTCCACAACCATCATCTCTGTACATCTGTGTCCACAACCATCATCTCTGTACATCTGTGTCCACAACCATCATCTCTGTACATCTGTGTCCACAACCATCATCTCTGTACATCTGTGTCCACAACCATCATCCTCTGTCATCTACAACCATCATCTCTGTACATCTGTGTCCACAACCATCATCTCTGTACATCTGTGTCCACAACCATCATCTCTGTACATCTGTGTCCACAACCATCATCTCTGTACATCTGTCCCATCTCATCTCTGTACATCTGTGTCCACAACCATCATCTCTGTACATCTGTGTCCA